AGTTCTCATGGCCACACTGCTAGTAACTGATGTGCCCAGGCTAGCAGGCAGAGCCAATGCGCTTAAGCACTGTGCAAACTGCCTTTCAGATAGAAGCTTTTCCCCAGAGGCTAAGTGTGTCTTCCCCTGAAGTTTTCTCCAGCCCTCTTTAGCTTCAGATCCAGCCTGCTCAGCTGAGGGGCCTTCTCTTCCCAGGACAAAGGTGAGGACGGAGTAGAACAACTTCATTCCAAGACCCTTTCATAAGCAACTGCCATGGCCAGGAGTTACTGATTCCAAGGGACAACGACTCCATTTGTAAGTCACAGGAATGCCTGTTCTTAATGTACCCCTGGTCTTCTCAAATGGAGCCACCACCCTCACTGCTTCTCGGAGGGTCACTGAATCCCAGACCCTAGTGTCCTGCCACCCATGGACCACCTCCCTGATGAACAGAGGCACTGCAGACTCAGCCCATGTCTTGCGAACCTGCACAAGTGAAAATATTAGATAAACATGCCAATCTCTTCTGGGGTTAAAAACTCAGGAGAGAGGTCTGGGCTAGATGGAGACATGGGCGTCATCCAGGCAGGACAAAGCCAGGGGTATGGTTTAGGTCACCATGGAGGGAAGCAGATCAGAAGAGGAGCAAAGGGTTCGGTGCGGTGGCACACACCTGTAATCCCAGCACTTTGGGAGGCCAAGGCAGGAAGATTGCTTGAGCCCAGGAGTTAGGGGCTGCAGTGACCCATGAGTCTGTCACTGTACTCCAGCCTGGGCAACACAGCAAGATCCTCATCTTGAAAAAAATAAAGCAGAGGAAAGAGTCAAAGATGGAGACTCCAAGACTCTGACGTTTAAGAAGGATCCTTAATAAGGACAAAAGGTGAAGTGACAGGAAACTCCCTCCTCTTCATGAATCTCCCTTCTCCCAGCTCTCCTTCCTCCTTCCCTACTCCAGGCTATGCCAGGAGAATGCCTCCGTAGTGCAGACTGGACCACAACACCTCCTGCTTAGACACTTCTTGGCAGTGCCCCATCCGCCCCATCACACCTTGGCCATGTTTCTCAAGTTGCAGGACTCACCCTATGGTGATAATTTTAGGCAGCACACAGACTTATCTGCAACTCTGAATGGTTCCCTCTGTCTTCCTCCACTCACCCTCCACTCATTCATGCATCCTTCAAGACCAGATGCAAATGTCACTCTCTCTATATGGTCTTCCCTTGCCCCAGCAAGTTGGAGCATCAAATATCATTGACTAACAGAATACGAAAGCTAGTCCATTTTCCAATGTGCA